CGGGAATTTATGCCCCGGATTTCCGCGAGGCGAGCGCGCGCGCTATTTTGGCCGACTTAGCGCGCGCACTCTTAGCCAAAAGTAGACCCGTTATAAGGCAAAACGCTACTTCCGGGAATTTATGCCCCGAATTTCCGCGAGGCGCGCGCGCGCGCTAGCGCTATTAATTGGCCGATAGCGCGTGCGGTCTTAGCCAAAAGTAGACCCGTTATAAGGCAAAACGCTACTTCCGGGAATTTATGCCCCGGATTTCCGCGAGGCGAGCGCGCGCGCTATTTTGGCCGACTTAGCGCGTGCACTTTAAGCCAAAAGTACGGGTTCCGAGGCGCGCTCGCGCGCTAATATTGGCCGACTTAGCGCGGGCGGTCCTAGCCAAAAGTAGACCCGTTATAAGGCAAAACGCTACTTCCGGGAATTTATGCCCCGAATTTCCGCGAGGCGCGCGCGCGCTAGCGCTATTAATTGGCCGATAGCGCGTGCGGTCTTAGCCAAAAGTAGACCCGTTATAAGGCAAAACGCTACTTCCGGGAATTTATGCCCCGGATTTCCGCGAGGCGAGCGCGCGCGCTATTTTGGCCGACTTAGCGCGCGCGGTCTTAGCCAAAAGTAGACCCGTTTTAAGGCAAAACGCTACTTCCGGGAATTTATGCCCCGAATTTCCGCGAGGCGCGCGCGCGCTAGCGCTATTAATTGGCCGATAGCTCGCGCGGTCTTAGCCAAAAGTAGACCCGTTATAAGGCAAAACGCTGCTTCCGGGAATTTATGCCCCGAATTTCCGCGAGGCGCGCGCGCGCGCACTAGCGCTATTAATTGGCCGATAGCGCGCGCGGTCTTAGCCAAAAGTAGACCCGTTATAAGGCAAAACGCTACTTCCGGGAATTTATGCCCCGAATTTCCGCGAGGCGCGCGCGCGCTAGCGCTATTAATTGGTCGATAGCGCGCGCGGTCTTAGCCAAAAGTAGACCCGTTATAAGGCAAAACGCTACTTCCGGGAATTTATGCCCCGGATTTCCGGCGAGCGCGCGCGCTATTTTGGCCGACTTAGCGCGCGCGGTCTTAGCCAAAAGTAGACCCGTTATAATACAAAATTAAAACGCTACTTCCGGGAATTTATGCCCCGAATTTCCGCGAGGCGCGCGCGCGCTAGCGCTATTAATTGGCCGATAGTTCGCGCGGTCTTAGCCAAATGTAGACGGCAAAATTAATAATAAAACTACTTCCGGGAATTTATGCCCCGGATTTCCGCGAGGCGAGCGCGCGCGCTACTACTTTTACTGCTTACGACTTACTGACTTACTGACTTACTACTTACTACTTTTTACTCTCTACGTTCTACCTACTACCTACTACCTACTAACTACTAGCTACTAGCTACTACTATCTACTAACTACTGACTACCCACTACCTACCTACCTACCTACCTACCCACCCACCTACCTACCTACCTACCTACCTACTACTTGCGACTTACTACTTGCGACTTACTACTTGCGACTTACTACTTGCGACTTACTACTTGCGACTTACTACTTTGACTTACTGACTTACTACTTATTACTTACTGACTACTACTCTACTACTACTACTACTACTACTACCACTACTACTACTACTACTACTACTACTACTACTACTACTACCACTACCACTACCACTACCTACTACCTACTACCTACTACCTACTACCTACTACCTACTACCTACTACCTACTACCTACTACCTACTACCTACTACCTACTACCTACTACCTACTACCTACTACCAACTACCTACTACCTACTACCTACTACCTACTACCTACTACCTACTACCTACTACCTACTACCTACTACCTACTACCTACTACCTACTACCTACTACCTACTACCTACGACCTACGACCTACGACCTACGACCTACTACCTACTACCTACTACCTACTACCTACTACCTACTACCTACTACCTACTACCTACTACCTACTACCTACTACTTACTACTACTACTACTACTACTACTGCTACTACTACTATTATTACTACTACTATTACTACTACTACTACTACTACTGACTACTGACTACTGACTACTGACTACTACTACTACGATCATTTTACTTCTACAAATTTGCTGGTTAACTCCTGACAACACAAGGGGGAAAAATGTGGATCTCTTAAACGGCGGCCAGTTGTTGGAGCTGCAGGAAAGGTCTGCCGCGGCCTGAGTGGCGCCTGGGAGCTGCAGGGGAGGGTTTGGGGAGTTTTGAGGGCTGGCAAACGGCAGCCTTGAACCTCCTTAAAAGGACACTGCCACGGCCTCAGGGACTTGTTGGAGCTGCAGGAAAGGTCTGCCGCGGCCTGAGTGGCGCCTGGGAGCTGCAGGGGAGGGTTTGGGGAGTTTTGAGGGCTGGCAAACGGCAGCCTTGAACGTCCATAAAAAGACGCTGCCACGGACTTGTTAGAGCTGCAGGAAAGGTCTGCCGCGGCCTGAGTGGCGCCTGGGAGCTGCAGGGGAGGGTTTGGGGAGTTTTGAAGGCTGGCAAACGGCAGCCTTGAACGTCCATAAAAAGACGCTGCCACGGACGTGTGAGAGCTGCAGGAAAGGTGTGCCGCGGCCTGAGTGGCGCCTGGGAGCTGCAGGGGAGGGTTTGGGGAGTTTTGAAGGCTGGCAAACGGCAGCCTTGAACCACCCCTTAAGGGGCACTGCCACGGCCTCAGGGACTTGTTGGAGCTGCAGGAAAGGTCTGCCGCGGCCTGAGTGGCGCCTGGGAGCTGCAGGGGAGGGTTTGGCGAGTTTTGCGGGCTGGCAAACGGCAGCCTTGAACGTCCTTAAAAGGACACTGCCAGGGCCTCAGAAACTTGTTGGAGCTGCAGGAAAGGTCTGCCGCGGCCTGAGTGGCGCCTGGGAGCTGCAGAGAGGGTTTGGGGAGTTTTGCGGGCTGGCAAACGGCAGCCTTGAACATCCATAAAAAGACGCTGCCAGGGCCTCAGGGACTTGTTGGAGCTGCAGGAAAGGTCTGCCGCGGCCTGAGTGGCGCCTGGGAGCTGCAGGGGAGGGTTTGGGGAGTTTTGAGGGCTGGCAAACGGCAGCCTTGAACGTCCTTAAAAGGACACTGCCAGGGCCTCAGGGACTTGTTGGAGCTGCAGGAAAGGTCTGCCGCGGCCTGAGTGGCGCGTGGGAGCTGCAGGGGAGGGTTTGGGGAGTTTTGAGGGCTGGCAAACGGCAGCCTTGAACGTCCATAAAAAGACGCTGCCACGGCCTCAGGGACTTGTTGGAGCTGCAGGAAAGGTCTGCCGCGGCCTGAGTGGCGCGTGGGAGCTGCAGGGGGGGGTTTGAGAGTTTTGAAGGCTGGCAAACGGCAGCCTTGAACCGCCTTAAAAGGACACTGCCACGGCCTCAGGGACTTGTTGGAGCTGCAGGAAAGGTCTGCCGCGGCCTGAGTGGCGCCTGGGAGCTGCAGGGGAGGGTTTGGAGCAGCCTTGAACGTCCTTAAAAAGACACTGCCACGGCCTCAGGGACTTGTTGGAGCTGCAGGAAAGGTCTGCCGCGGCCTGAGTGGCGCCTGGGAGCTGCAGGGGAGGGTTTGGCGAGTTTTGCGGGCTGGCAAGCGGCAGCCTTGAACGTCCTTAAAAGGACACTGCCAGGGCCTCAGGGACTTGTTGGAGCTGCAGGAAAGGTCTGCCGCGGCCTGAGTGGCGCCTGGGAGCTGCAGGGGAGGGTTTGGGGAGTTTTGGCGAGTTTTGAAGGCTGGCAAACGGCAGCCTTGAACTTCCGTAAAAGGACACTGCCACGGCCTCAGGGACTTGTTGGAGCTGCAGGAAAGGTCTGCCGCGGCCTGAGTGGCGCCTGGGAGCTGCAGGGGAGGGTTTGGAGAGTTTTGCGGGCTGGCAAACGGCAGCCTTGAACCTCCTTAAAAGGACACTGCCAGGGCCTCAGGGACTTGTTGGAGCTGCAGGAAAGGTCTGCCGCGGCCTGTTGCGTTTTGGAACGCCGTAGAAACAGAGATTGCTGTGGCATGAGTGGCTCGTGGGAAGCGCACAGAAATTGCTGTGGCCTGAGTGGCTCCTGGGCGGTGAACAGAGGGTGCTATGGCCTGGGTGGCTCGTGGAAAGTGCAAAGCATTGGGAACGAAAAAAAGTTCCACACCTGCGGTGGTCCCAGGCGCCGCTCCTGCCTTGGCTAAGGCAGGGTCGGCGGATATGTGTATATGTAAATATGTATATGTAATAGTAAATATGTATATGTAGAAATTGCACTTCTGGCAAGTCAGAGGCATGTGGTTGGTTCAGCTTGCTGTTCTGGCTCTTTCCATCTGTCCTCTTTTTGATGCAGCTCCGGTGCAGACCGCGCTGAGCGTTGGGACCTCACGGATGCCCCGCGTTCCACACTGCGCACAGTGGCAGGAAGTGACCGACCACGTGGCGTGGCACGCCCAGATGTGCTGGGCCAAGGAAAACTCTGTTTGACCTTTGATTCGTCTTGAACAAAGTGGGCAGTAATATGCGCAGTCAGCTGTATCTGAAGCCTCTGCAACAGGATGATCCATGCGCCGCAGAAGTGGTGAGGGTCGACTTCGCAGTGCTATGCCTGTTAGTTGATGATGTTGATAGAGGGGCTGCGGATCACAATCATTGTTAATCATGTTATCCCAAGTCCATTTCTCCTCACCGTCAGTAATGATATTTAACCTAATCCTTTACTTTCAAGCCATCCTTCTATATTGTCCAGGTCCGTGTCGCGGAGGACTGGCACTTGGATTAGGGCAGCGTCCGTGCCGAGCGGCCCCTGTTCAAAAAGGCTGGGCACATTGGATGTCCCCCCTCTCTTCGAGGTAGGCTTTCATGGTCTCACTGCGGTGACCCCCCAGTTAAAAATGGGTTATAATCCCATTAACCACGAATAGATATAACACGTATAAACCATAGTTATTGGACTTATAAACCAACTTAGCTAACTATGGGGTACCACCTTGTATGTTATAGTGATAAAGAAACCTCCCGCTTTTCCAGGGCATCGCTCCTCCGGTGGTTCGAAGGGAACATCTGGACGTTGCTCTAACCTCTGGCGCCGAGTCGCCCATTTTGGGTGGCCGAGAAAAGAGATCAAGACGTCTTGGAAATTGTGATGAATATTGGTTCGAAATGGTTTTTTATAGTAGGATTTCACTTTAAGCCTCTATCTTTTTGGGCGGTTCTCTACTATAACTCTACTATAACTATACTCATTATCAGGTACAAATACAAATATACACAGAATACAGCTGCGATCATCCTGGAGCCATACCGTGGGTCATGCTTTGAATCTAGTTACATTCCCATCATATGTAGCTGACCTATGCTGACCTTAGAAATCCCATCTTGAAGATATAGATACTGTAGAAGGGAATATGATACTGTAGTATGATTTGAATCAAGTGATTTGAATCTGTAGTGGGATATGATACATAATCTCCTCAACATATGGCAAACCCCGGGAACGCATTCTGAAGATCTATTTGCAACAATGCCCACTGCCACTGGTGTACATGGGCTACATACCCGCCCTCACTGGGCAATTAAACCAGTGGACCAATTGATATGTCATGTCAGTTTCCAGAATCGGATCTGCACTCTTGCAACATAAAGTCGCATTGTTTGTTGCCTTTGGGTCAACAAAAATATGTCAGTTGGACATAAGTCCGAAAAGCATGCTGGCAAACTGCAAGCTCCATGTCTAGCACCATCCCCCAGTATCCCCCAGTCATCACCATAACTGGTTGGTGGTTGAGCCCTACCCCTCCGAAAAACATGAAAGTCAGTTGGATGATGACATTCCCAACTGAATGGAAAGTCATAATCCATTCCATGGTTCCAGTCACCACCAACCAGATAATTTTTTCTATAGGTGGTTTTTCTGGTTACCATTCCCAAATTCCTGGTTTATCATACCAATAAACCAATATGAAATGGGGTTGTGGCATTGGATACCCTCTGGTGAACTAACATAGCAATTGAAAATGGCCATTTATAGTGGATTTTCCCATTAAAAATGGTGATTTTCCATTGCTATGTTAGTTCACCAGAGGGTAAACCTCAATTTTTCCCATCATCCCTCAGCCATTCGTCTCCCAGTGACTCCAGCGATACCTCCATGAAGCCGTCCTGTAAAGCTTCCTGCAGGGATGGACTCAAAGGCGCCCCAAACAAGCAGAATCGTCAAATTATGGTCGTTTTAAGTGGGATATGAATGGGATTTTAATGGATTTTACTTGGATTTTAATGTATTTTACTAGGATTTTAATGGATTTTACTGGGATTTTAATGGGTTTTACTGGGATTTTAATGGATTTTACTGGGATTTTAATGGATTTTACTGGGATTTTAATGGGATTGGATCTACTAAGAATTCATGGGATATGAATGGCCTTTCGTGGGATTTAGTTGCCCAAGTTAGTGAACGTATTTAGGCAGAGTGTTGGTTTTATATATCTGGAAGATTGGCTTTAAAGACCAGTAACCATAACTCAGGGGCACCAGCAACACCTTCTGGAATCCAGCCACCACAGGTGTGTTGGACTCTGAGTTTGGACAAGGCTATATGGGACGGCGCTGTTCGCAGGTGGCTCCTGACTGTGGTGTAAGTGGGACCATCATACACCACCATTGTTTCATATTATTTCCATGTGCTCTAACCCATAGGATCCATGTATGCTATATATGATGGTAACATGGATCCCATCAATATACCCCCAATGTTAGCATATATACCAGCACCATGGATCCTATGGGTAATGATGTCCAGAAAAAAACACGCAAGAGCATCAAGTTCACCCACTCCAAGCGGAACAGCCCTGGTCCTCTAACCTACAAAACTCCGATGCACCGCTGTCCCGCGTCACACGGCCTAACCTCAGGCCGCAAAGCGTCTCTTTTTACGGAGGTTGGCGTAAGTTTGGCTCACGATTCATCAATTTCTACCAGAAACGGCCCCAAAACAATAGATTTCTGTTGGTTTCTGTTCGTAATATATGGTATATAATATAATCTGGTTGGTGGTTTGAACCCCTCTAAAAAATATGAAAGTCAGTTGGGATGGTTATTCCCAATATATGGAAAGTCATAAAATTCATGTTCCAAACCACCAACCAGTAATGGTAGTATAGGGTCTATGGTTGATATATCTATAGTCAATGGATGTCGGGTTTGGTGATTTAGATCCCAAGAATCGACGACTAAAACGCTCAAGGCCTACTGCTTGGTATAGAAGTGCCTTCAACAGGTGCAACTAGGATTATATGGGGTAAGTTCGACTCAGCTAATTCAAGGACATATTCAGCAGTGAAACAAGGTCTATGTAAGGCTCATTTATTTCAGGCCTACTGTAAGGGAGTGCCTGGATGGCACCTGCATTGGCGAACAGTCGATGATTCTGGGCACTAGGCACCAGAAGAGGCGTATACAATCTACCAACAATTCGGGAATATGACTCTGTACCAATTAGTACATATCATGAGCATATCTTTTACTATTATTAGCATGTATTAACCATATTGCATTATGTATAAACCATGATTAACCATATATATATATATTAATAAACATTTATTAACCATATTGGGATTCTGTTGTTTCTATAAATATACAAGGAGTACGATACAACCCATCCACTGGAAGCCGTTTTGAGCTTAGCCTCTCGACTGCGAGGGGGACCCCAACATAGCCAGTTCACTGGCATATCACCATGGTGATAGCATCACTTTGGGGTCTGGTGTGTGTATATATATATATACGGCAAATGCCTGGGTTTTGCCCGGACCCGCAATGACGACCGGCGACGCATCATCATCATCATCATCATGATCATCACCATCATCATCATCACCAGCATCATCATCATCAACATCATCATCATCATGACGGGGGTGGGAGTTTAATATTCCCTAATATCTTTGTTGATATAACCAATTGCATGTAAAGTTTAACGGGGATGGGAGTTTAATATTCCCTAATATCTTTGTTGATCTTCCCAATTGCATGTAAAGTTTAACCGGGGTGGGAGTTTAATATTCCCTAATATCCTTGTTGATCTTCCCAATTGAATGTAAAGTTTAACGGGGGTGGGAGTTTAATATTCCCTAATATCTTTGTTGATCTTCCCAGTTGCATGTAAAGTCTAACGGGGGTGGGAGTTTAATATTCCCTAATATCCTTGTTGATCTTCCCAATTGCATGTAAAGTTTAACGGGGGTGGGAGTTTAATATTCCCTAATATCTTTGTTGATCTTCCCAATTGAATGTAAAGTTTAACTGGGGTGCGAGTTTAATATTCCCTAATATCTTTGTTGATCTTCCTAATTGAATTTTGATTTTCACGATTTGAGAGTTTAAAATTTGCTAGTACCTTTGCTGTTTTTTCCATAGGAATTGCAGGTGTTATGCCGTTTTGTTTTTCCCATAGGAATTTCGGGTGTTTTGACCTTGTTTGTTTGATAGTCTCTAGTACCTGTGTTATTTTTCCCATAGGAATTACGGCAATTTGCAACATCATTTGTTCGTGAATGGGACACATATACGCTGCAACGCCTGGGCAGAACCCAGGCGTTGCGCGTATATATATATATATATATATATTGCATATATATATATATATTGCATATATATATTGCATATATATATATATATTGCATATGTATATATATTGCATATATATCTATATATACAAATACATACATACATGTATATATATATAATGTATATATATATAAATATAATTATGTATAAATATACACACAGTGTCTACATATAGTATATATATATATATATTTTTTTTTTTATGATGTGCATATATATATATATTATTATGTGTATATATATATTATTATTATTATTTATTATTATTATTATGTATATATATTATTATTATGTATATATATATATTATTATGTATATATATTATGTATATATAAATATTCGTATGTATATATATATATATATATTATGTCTACATATAGTATATATATATATGCACAGTAACCCCTTGTAGGTATGGTGAAACATATTGCAGCTTCATACTGGGAACTGCAAGCCAAAGGATATGTTTTTTCCCCACTTGGGTTTCCCGGCCGCAATTGGAAATTTTCCAATACCGGCGCATCTGCACCTGAGAAGCGCCAGGTTTTTTTAACACCTTTAATCAACAAAGACATTGATGGGTAATCACTATTAAAGTAAATATATTATCATATTGATTATCATTGAATAATAATGTAATCCAAAGTTAGTAACACTATTGATTATCAAATTTTAATCCAAACTTCTAGATATAATAATCACTAATTCTAGTAGGTGGTGCCCTATGCAATGGGAAATACCTATGGTTCACGGGGAAAAAAAACTATTGCCTAGTAGACAAGAATGGTCAACATGTTCAAGCTGTTCATGGAACTGTCACAATGTCTTCATCTACTGAGGGAGAATTTTCAATTGCCAAGTTCCATTGCCTCAAGCGAATCCTCAAATGACTCTGCACCAGCTGCTTAAGCCAATATTCGCTGGTCTAGATTTTGTATGGGCCGTCTCCGAAGAATACCGGGAAAATCTGAGGATCTACTTATCCACAGTTATGGCCCTGTACCATTCTGAGTACTTATAACCCTATTTATAGAGTGTATAATCCCATTTATAACCAGTTATAACTAATAAATGGCCATAACTGCAGACTTACCCAACATTTTTTTGGGGGGATAATATCCTCGGTGTAAACCCATGTAGTGGGAAATACCTGTGAATATGGTGCCACCCAGCGATGTTTGTTGGTCTAGTTCCACTAATTCGATTTCTACCATACACTCAACATTTGATTAGAAGACTATAGAAGTATATAGAACCAACTTAGCCAACTTGGCATATCACATGATTTATGGCTTAAACATGTTTAAAACATCATTCTGTGAGTTTTTCCAGTTATGTTAAAATTCGATCTATCCGGTATGCCACTGAGGCTCCAAACACAAGAAGAGAGAGCACAAACCTTCGGCCTGCTGACGCGAGTTGGGTGCGCCTTCTGTGAAACAAACATGGGATCCAACCAATTGACATGCAGAAATGGACACATGAAAATTTGGGAAACTAAGCTGTCCCATGTTTTATCATTCATAAATTTCATGCGGTGGGAAGAAACCAGGAACCAAAACAGTTGTTTCGTTTCGCTCCGAATGCGCAGGATCCAGATGACTGGGGGGTTCCATGATTCGCCACATGAGAAAAAATCCCATGAAGTGACACGAATAGGGCATGAATTGATTCCGAATACACGACAAATATACATTATGAATTATGAAAAACATGAGTCATATGATGTGAAAAAAATCTATTATACTAATACCAAATACAATATAATACATATTATACTAATTCTGCCCGATTCTGCCCAGATACATTATAGAATTACTCGGCAAACTAGATTTGACATAATTTTGGCTGCTGGCCGGCAAGGTGAAGTCAGTGGCGAGGCTGGCTCCCTGACAGGTCCAAATTTGTCCGCCAATTTAGGTGAAGTCGAGGCCACCCTCCCGGTTTTTTTCGTTGGTTTATAAACCCATGATAGACCCATTGACTATCATAAATCATAGTTAAAGCAATAGAAACCATTGGATAACCGGTTTGAACATGTTTGAACCACTACAATTGTCATATCCCACCTTCGCCACGTGGTTTTTCCCTAGGATGCCATGCCGCCCAGCGACTAAGCTGTCCGAATCGCCCAAGGGAAAGAGCTGAAATCGCCCTCTGCCTTGGCGCGACCGGCCAAAATGGTGGGAATCTGCTAGGTGGTGCCTGTTATTTTTACCTTCAAAAATGGTGGTTTAGTCGAATTACAGGAGCTTTCAGCTGCAGAATCCTTGTCGACACCTGTCGCTCCAGGCTGTCCTGGCAAGCCGGCTCGAAACGCACCGTCCCTGATGCCGATGGCGTCACGAAGTCATTTCGATCATTGCTCCGCCCAAAAGGGCTGCTGGATGCCTCGAAGCCGGTCGTAGGATGCCTTGGGCGTGTAGGGGGTCGTAGGAGTGGAAGCCTCAGAGATTGAAGTGCTCGAACTCCTTCCGGCGCTAAGACATATATAATCACACCGCCGTTGAACTTCACATTCACTTGACTTGGGAAGATCAACAAAGGTATTGGGGAATATAAAATTCCACCGCGTGCATCTTTACATTCACCTGGAAAAATCAGCAAAAGTACTGAGAATGTATTGAGGAATAAGAAATCCCACCCCGCTGAGTTTACATTCAAGGTATTGATATTGATGATGATGATGATGATGAAGATGATCATGATGATGATGATAATCATGATGATCATAATGATCATGATGATGATGATGATGACCATGATCATGGTGATGATGATGATGATCATCATCATCATGAAGATGATGATGATGATCATGATGATCATGATGACCATCATCATGAATGATGATGATGATGGTGATGATCATGATGATGAGGCGGAGGATGAGGCGGAGGATGAGGATGAGCTGCAAAAGAGTCGCACAGGCCCCTATGCTGTGTGTTCCGATATATAACATGAAGTTAACCATCATGCGAACATGTCCAATTTCTACCACGTTTTAAGGTCATTCGGGGGTGATGGCCGACAACGTCGGACAAATCGAGGGGTTTGGCCGTAGAAACATCGAACGAGTGAATGGGGTGAAACTAAACCAACAGACATAACTGGGGGGCACCACTCTCTGTAAACAATCTTTCACGAAGGATTACTCAATTAGTCAGACATAAGCAAACCGGGCTACACCCATGAGGCCTGTCCTAATGATTTGGATGGAAGCATATTTCGTCAAAGTGGGGGATACGCTGGATAAACTTTAATAATCCAGTTCAACAGCAGCCAGAGAACATAAACTGCGTCATGCCAAAGGATCCTTCGGGGTCCGCACAACCACTGGGTTCTAATATGTTCTAATCACCTTTGCCAAACCACATTCACGTGATTAGAACCCAATAAACCATCGTTTTAGTGGGATAAACCGCAGGGAGAAGGAAACCCATGAGCACCCTATGACACCAAGTGTCAACCAAGAATTACGTCCAGAAAGATGGGGAGGGTGTCCTCGAGTCCTGTAGCCTGTAACATGGTTATCCAATAATTACAAAAAAACGCTGAACACTCACCGAACATCAGCAAGAATCTGATCAAAAGTCATCAGCAGTCAACATCATGAAACATCACAACATCACAACATCTATCTATCTAATCTAATCTAATCTAGTCTAATCTATGAACCACTGCTGACTTCAATCCAAGGCACAGCCGCCTTGCAGCTGGAAGGTGGGCCTTAGTTTGCGCAATTCAGTGTTGCTTTCTGTGATGGTATATACTTCGTGTGTATATATATATACTATACGTGCATATACTTACTTATAGTATATCTATATAGTATATATAATACTATCTCTATATATATAAATATATATATATATATGTAGCATATACTATAAATATTCACTTGTTGGTGACTCAAACTATAGAATGCTAAAGATTTATCCATATTCATTGTGCCTAACTGTTGCCTGTATTGGATATATCGAACGTGTTCCATTTGACTAGGCTAACACTAGATTTAGTTCATGGATATATCAAACTAGTTAGGACGGGGAACAGAAACCAACAGACATAACTTTGGGGGGGACCTGTATATGGATGTTTCTCAAACATGGTGATTTGTCAATGCCCTGCGCAGCAGTCAATCTTTAGTCAATCCTCCAAAGAGCAACAAATCGAAGCTTGTGGCTACAATCCAGCCAGATAGGAACACCTTCAATTTGAACACTTAAACATGCCGCATCTCTGTTGTTAAACTGGGGTTGCGCTATGTTCTCGGCTTTACCTCCGATTTAAGATCTTGTTTAAACTGTTTAAAACAAGACACCTCGCATTTGTTGAAAGACAAGAACGGTTTCCTGTTGATTTCCCACACAAATCGTCTCATGCTGCTGGAAAGTTGCCCCTGAGGAAAGAACAAACATTGACGCGCACACACACACATATATATATATGTATACATATACATACATATACATATCTGGGTAAATTATAATATTTCACTAACCTGAATTAAGGCCATTTGGGGATGATTTCCCTTAATAACCATGATTCCAGTGAGGTCGCAGTGAGGTCGTTATAATTTACCCAGACATATATATATATACATTACGCATACATGTTATGAGATAGCTAGAATATGTTAGAATTACGTGTCCATTTCAGCAGAAATTTGAAAATGCACTGTTTGATTCACGGCACAGCATCCAGCAGTGGGGATTGATCCAGCAACCATGGAAATCAATCAATTTTTACCACAGATAGTCCATGGTTTTAACGTTTGAAACGTTAAGGAAATCACTATAAATCACTCAGGTTTTATGTGGTTTTAACGTTTTTAACCATACTATGTGTGGGTTAAAAACCTACTGATATGATTTAGCCACAAATAGCAAGGAACCACTGGTCAGGAGTACCACATCTCCAAGCACTTCATGCAGTCCTTCCGTTTCACAGCAGGGAAATTTGCCTTTGATTTACAAACTAGGAAATACCATCCCTGTTTTATGCAAATGGAAGCTGCAGTCCACATCAAAAACCATCATGGATGATTTCAATATGTCAATAATTACGACGAAACTGACGGTGTTCTTAGGAATTTCTTGCGGACTCACCCTTCAGTTATTAGGACATGGCTGAAGAAAAGGACATTGGTTTATGGCTTGGCTCCCATCAAAGCGGTTTTGCACCGACCGAAATAGCGTTCACCTTGAGAAAAACATGTTTTTCTTTTCCCTCGCGAGGTCAAATTATCTTTCTACTGAAAAACTCTATGGTCTCCTCTCTCTCTATATATAAATATATATAGACACATTATAATCCAGTATATTCAGATAAGGGTTTGGGCTAAAACACATTAAAGCTGTTGGCCCAAGACTGGGGGATAAACATCCACAAATCCCAGCTGTGGGGTTCATCATGGTAGAGCCTTGACATCAGAATGTTTTGATTCAGTCATAAGATAAACGCTTTGCAATTTGGATCTACCGATCTAGCCAATCTAGCCTAAATAAGGAAACAGTGGCTCAAGATCATCAACTCCAAATTCCGTTTCAGCTTTGCGAAACAATCTTCAATGGACAATTATTGATAGAACTAATACACCAATATTCAAAATGATAACCATAATCATATCTACATTAATATCACCATATTGATAATTTTATAAATTGATACATGTTAAATATATATATATTGATAATTAATATTAGATCAATAACCATCGTATTCAATTATTGCTATCCATCATTAGTCTTATTGATATTTACCATTATTGTATTAATAACCATAATAACCATAATCGGGATATTTAATGATTGGGATATGGTATCAATACCATTGTCAATTATCAATCTATCCAATCTTCAATCTCATCATCGAAGGCCAAGGGACGATTCCAACATATCACCAGCGCGGAGGCCCGCCAAACGCTCAGGCGGCATTTCTGCGCCTAGGCCCATGAGGATGACTGAAGACCATTATATATATATATATATGTATGCATGCATGCATGCATGCATGTATGTATGTATGTATTATATATATGTATGTATGTATGAATGCATGTATGTATGTATGCATGCATGCATGTATGCATGGATGTATGTATGTATGTATGGATGCATGCAATGTATGTATGTATGTCTGTCTGTCTGTCTGTATGTATGTATGTATGTATGTATGTATGTATGTCCTGTATGTATGTATGTATGTATGTATGTATGTATGTATGTATGTATGTATGTATGTATGTATGTATGTATGTATGTATGTATGTATGTATGTATGTAATGTATGTATGCATGCATGCATGTATGTATGCATATATATATATGCAGGTATGTATGTATGTATGTATGTATGTATGTATGTATGTATGTATGTATGTATGTATGTATGTATGTATGTTATGTATGTATGTATGTATGTATATATATATATTTGTTTCGTGACGTGCAATTCGCACTATAGGGATGTCCCTGGATTTTTCGGGGAACATGTTGGATTTTTGTTTTTTTGGGCATGCCAGGGGTTTGAAGGCCCTGGGATTGCGATTTTGCTGGCTGTTTTGCCCGGCCCAGCCATGTCACAAGGTGGTTCCAATGTCAGCCAAGTAACTTGCAGATACGCATACGCAATTGCAATCTTGAGATTTTGTCGACTTTGAAGTGTTACAGTCAAGGAAAGTTATGTTTTTGAACGTTTAGTCTGGGTCAAAAATGATTTTTGGAACTCCACGTGAAAGGTGTTTTAAACACACAAGCAGTTCAAACATTTCCCACATAGATTTCAAAAGCAACCCATGCTTGAAAACTACTATGTTTCCAGCGAATTCGTTTTGAATTTGAGGGTAGCCATGGCTGCGCTCTTGGCTGCTGAAAGCATCAGACTTGTAGCTGGCGCTGCAACAGAGTTGAGTCACGCAGATTTGGTTCAATGCACGGAAAGATTTATACAAAGGCTTGATCAAGGACACACTTTTTCCAACGATGTCATTCAGGAGGCGGTCGATGGCAGCGCAAAGTTGTTCCGAACCTCATTCAATCGATTTTCAGTGGATGCGTTGCCGTGTATTTGGAATGATTTGGGCTTGGCAGATTTTCCACATTCCACTTGGAAGCAAATTTTACAGTCAGCGGGGCATACCGGCGGTGAACCACAGGAGCCATCACGCAAGTTTTCCTGGTCCGGTTCGAGGAGTTCTTGCAACTTGTCGGTGAGATCAGGCGAGAGTCAGGGTCGTTGTCATTCAGCTGCAGCTTGCTCTTCAACTAGTGGCCAGAGTAATTTGTCGGGAAGTTGTGGGAGCGCTTCATCCCAGCAGGTTGGTGAGGCTGATCTGGAGAAGTGCCAACTATTGGAGCAGGTGGCCACGCAGCAACGAACAATATCTATGTTGACGTCTTTGGTGGCTTCATCGCAAACCAAGCTGGCCGAAACCACAGAGAAACTGAAAAAGACGCAGCGAAGCAAGCGTATCGTCGAAAAAAAACTGGCTCAATCACAGCAGGAATTGGCAGATGAGAAGGTTAGAAGACTGCATGACCTTGCAATCACAAAAACATCTGACATGTTCAAAAAAAGAAAGGTTAATCCCAAGCAAGACGCTGGCGAAAACAGAAACACCTGGGAGTGGCTTACACCACAGGGGTCGTTGGCGCTAGGTATCAGGAGAAATTTCAGCAACATCGCCAGTGGCGATCTTGGAATCACGCTATGCGATGATATCAGCAGATGGACAGTGGTCCGAAATGAAATCAGAGTTGCAGCATGCATGATCGCTGGAAGTCGGAATTTTTTTCGCTGTTGGAAGATGGCTGCTAGCGTTGATGGCAGAAAATTTTCATCAGAAACGCAACCTGTCACAATTTTGTCTTTCAGACAGGACGGTACAAACAGTGGAATTTGGAATAAGTCAAAACTTATCGCCCTGGAGCTTGAAGCATCATATAGGATTGACATTCCACTTTGCTTCACCCAGACAAGGGACGGAATCACTGCAACAGGCTTTCATGATGATGACGTTTTCCCAAATTGGCAGAGGCTGAAGAGACTTGCGGACGTTCAAATCGTGAAGGATGGATCTGGCTTGGCATCGTTGGCCCTTACTCAGAAGATGTTAGACTCTTTGGGGTGCCCGCACTGGGGAAACATTTGCACTGAACATGGGTCACCGACATCAGGTGGACAGAGGCAGCTTAGCCAACTTGGCAGGCTTTTCTATAGTGTTTAATGTAGAATGAGCAGGCCAGTATTGAATTTGTTTTGTGTGTGTGTCAGTGTGTGCTTGTGCCATGAATGCTACTTGGTTGGTCACTGCAGTTTTGGTCTTGGTATGTTCTTTCCACCGCACCGCCTGAAATCCATTTGATTTGTTTGTTTGCCAAGGCCTGATGCACTGGACGCACGTGCAACCACGAGCGGATCTGGAATTGTGTGGTTTCTGTCGACCAGTGATAGAGGGCCAAACGAAGTTATGAACCGAAAGCTCATCATGTGCCTTGTGGAAAAGATTGACCGTGCGATCTTTCTGGACAATGATTGCTGGGAGCATGCTTGTCACTTGTGTGTGCTGGGTTCCTTGAAGTTGGTGGATCAGATGATGCATGTGCTGCCACAAGACCGCAGACGATCGTGGAAATATTATTCGAGCATTGCCACTGTGTGCAATGTATGCCGTGATGTTGCAAGAGACTTGTTTGATACGTGGAAGCAATTTCATGGGTGCGAGTCAGCAATCCAACAAGTCCGGAAATTATTTCCACGTTGCTGTGCTGGACGGTGGCTGTCCATTTCCACTGCGGAGGAGCGGATCATCAAATCAACAGAGCATATGCTGAAAGGTGTTTTGACTGCTGTCCTCAGGAAGAAAAAGGTCCAAGAGAATGATGATGGGGATGTTGGTCTCAAGAGCGCGAAGAAATCCAAAACTGCAGTTTCAAAATCTGAAGTTGGAGTTGGAACTGTTGATTTGCTGGCAGTTGAGCAGACACAGCACTACGTGGAAACGATGGGCAAATGGCGAAGACATGCTGTGGAAGCAGTGTCTGACACCCTCTGGCACAGAACAATTGCAGTTCTCAATGCAGTGAAGGGCCCATTGACGCATTTCAGTTGCTTCTTGAAAAAGAAACTGACCGAGATGGATTTGCGACAGCATGGCAATGTGCTCCATCGACTTGTGTCTGGAAAATCTGACGTATTTATGGCGGAGTTTGCAACATTGCTCAGCAACTTGGCTGTGGTCGCGCGCTGGTCTTGTAACCATGTCGTCCTGCATTCAAGTTTGGTTTCCTTTTAATGTGTGTTTGGAAATATACTCTAGATCGGGTTGTTTGCAGATCGGCCAATCCCGATGCAGTGCGGCATGCAACATGCATGACAACAGCTTTGGTCGATTCGCATGTCAGAGCCATGTAATCTGTTTTCTTTCTTGACACTACTCCACTAGAATGGTGCGGGGTCAGCCCCAGTCCGTTTATGAGGTCACCAGTGTTCAAAAGGTGGTGTTTTTCAGCTTATGCAATAGCATGTTCATTTGTGGTGTTCGCCATATGGTAAACAGGGACAATTTATATAGTGTGAAGCGCTGAATGACAATTTTCTGGGGTAAGCACGTCAGATTCCCTGTCAACACATTTTAGTGTTTCTTAATTTCAAACCATGTGGCACGCACCCTTGCGAGACACTCTTCCGGGACACTTTTGCAGAACAGGCATGTAATGCCTTCCTTTTGAGATTCACCCGGTTCATTCCTCACGCAACGCTACTCTGCAACAAAAAAGCCAAACCGGCTGACAATTCCACAAAGGCCAGAAAGGTTGGGATTCCTTTTGATGGTGTCCAATGAGGTTTGACTCACGGTTTGACCCTTGCATATTGTTTATTAAGGAGATCTAAATTTGTTCGTGTTTTGGCACGGCCAAGTTTCTCACTTGTTGATTGCTGGCTGGCAAGACTTAGGTCATGAAAAGCACTGCGCTGAATGGCGTAGCCTATGTCTCGACCTGCACCAGTCAGAAGCGTCTTGGCTGACTTCGCTGATAGCAATCGAGATCCTTCATTGTGCTTCGCAGTATGAGCGCAGAATACACCAGGCTACCTCAGCATACCCTTTCAAGATCCTCCTGCTTGTGAAATCCAGACCCACCAAACCATGCCGGATTCGTCAACAGATTGCGTCTGAAATTCTCAAAGCTGATGACAAAAAACTGCACCATGTTCCGCGCAAAATCAAGCATTTGTATGGCCCAGATCTTGCAGTCGCTGTGGAGAGTGGCATTCTTGGTTTTCGCCTTGCCTGTGCTCTTATGGAGATCCGGATGGTTTGGAAGAGCGATGTCAGAGATTGCGAGCGCATAAACAAGTTGTTGACGTGCATATCGGAAAGGTGTCCAAATGCGAATTTGGATTTGCTCAGTGCACGCGCAACAATAAAACACCATCTAGGCTCAACTGTTGCAGGTCCTGAAACACATAAAAAAAAATGGTCCACCCTCAAGCCTGTGGCCACCGACCTTCTCAACCAGTGCATTGCCGCTTGGGATGACAAGACAGATGTGATTTCAAACCCGGAGTGATGGTCATGCCCCGATCCAATGCCAGCTATGTCATCACAAGAGTTCCTATTATTTGCAGATGCGCGTTTTTTTTTAAAGGCCGTTATTGTCAAATGGGAATGACGATTGCTGCAGCTTAAGCTCAGAACCATTTGAGACCTAACCTGTTTTTGCGGGTTGGCCCTTTCTTTTTTGTCACGGTCATGGTCCTGACTGTCGTGGTTGGTTGGGCTGAAGACTTTGGATTGGATAGGGTCTTACAGGAAAAAAGGGGTGTGATTTATTAGGGATGCCGAGACAAGAGGCAAACAACAAAACGCTGAAACAAACACATGGGAAGCAGCCAGAAAGTGGCAGCAACGGACTGACCGAGGGAGTGACACTGACAAGTAGGCCAGCTACAGGCACTGCTGATTCCATCCTCCACTTCAAATAATAAGTTCTCACAAGACACAGCACCAGTAGATGGCATTTACAAAACTATAGGCCTAAGCCCTGAGAATTTTGTTGGCATCCGTGTTCGTATGGGCCTTTCTTGGGCCCATGTGCTAACGCACATTCACATGAAACTTGTGAAACTCAAGTGTTGACAACTGGTGATTTAACACATTTCGATGGCGGCTGTCTTACAGTGTCAGGTTGCGAAAGGCTGAGTTGCGATGCCTCCCAGATTTGCGAACTGGACCTGAGCAAACCTGGGGTGCTTGTTACAACATGGCTTTTACCAGAGAGTTGAAGAATTGTGACTACAAGAGCCCTTTGCTCGTCTTGGGTTTCTGTTCTCGCAGTTCAGAAAATTCTTCTTCCGGTTCCAGATCGTCCTTTTCATACTACCTCATGGCCGAGAAGGTTCGCACGACGCGCAGAGGAGTGCAGTGCTCTAGAGCCGGCGGCGGCAAAGAGTTTACTATACAGTTTCCCCTTCGATTCCATTCATCCATCCATGTGTTTGCCAGCTTCTACAGTGATGTTTCTTGGATACGAACAAGCAGCTGTCAATCATGTCCAAATCACCCAATTCTTTTGTGGGCACCGTGTTCGGCCGTGTTCCGGTCATATGTCTTCTAGTCACTTCACTTTAGTCGGACGGACGGACGGTCATGTATGATAGCTTTTAACCAGAAACGGGCTACCCTTCACCTTTCAGCACCGTGCAGCGCAGACTCTGGAGCTATCATGATGATCGTGATGATGATGCTGATGATGGATGGTAGTGAGAATGGCGATGTCCATGGCCATGACTAACTATGGCGATGACGATGGTGGTGTTGTTAAACTGTTGTAGCTGGTTTCCATTTTGAAGACGGCATGTTTTGCAGTAGTGAAGCTGGCCTTTCCAAAATTTATCCTTTCTAATTTATCCATTGTTCAAGCCCCGATATGTGAATTTAATCTCATTTTGCTGAAACTAGCTATATAAGTTCTGTGCTTTGGAGCAGCTCGCCAATCAATGATCATGGTTTTCTTCTGATCTGATCCAATTTTCATATTTTGAGGTGATGGCTGGGGCCAAAGTTGGAGCATTTGCGATTCAAGTGGAATCAATTGGTGACCCACTGTCAGGGAATTTGACAACAGTGAAGTGTGGGGCGCTATTGTTTATGCTAGACTTGAAGCCTCCATCAGAGAAGTTGCAAAAGAAATTTGACAAGCTCACCGGTAGCCAACGGCCTAGCCCATCAGCAAAGAGTTCACACCCAAGCGCAGAAGCAGATGGCGTTCAGCGCACAGAACCAGACCCAGCCGACCCAGAGTTTGGGGATGCTGTCCTGGAAGAGGGGCTCAATGATTTGCTGGAGGAAGCAGAACAGGCATCCCGCCCGGATGGAGGTGCTGCAGACGACTCTGATGATGTCGCGTATCTTCGGTTTGTCCAATCTGCAGTCCAGGATTCCTGGGGGGAAGGGTTGCTTTCACATGGTGCTTCAGCTACTGACGAGCTGGAAGGTGAACTAAGTCAGTTTATCGCAGAGGATTTCGAGATCCAGAAACCAGCTACCCAAGCTGAGGAAAAATTGCTTGCAAGTTTTTCAGCTGCGGCTTCTTCTGCAGGGCTGGAACAAAACAGAGCTTTATCCTCTCTCGCATCTGAATTGGCAACATCGATGGACTTTTTGCCAGATGAAGCAGTGAAAGAAGCTGCTTTGAATTCATCCCGAGCTCTCGGTACCATAGACCTGTCTGCCCAGCAGCCAGCAGAAGACATCGAAGATGACGAGACGTTGGGGGCCACTACATCTTCGGAGGATGTTGCGCGTCTTTGGATTGAAGGAGTTGAGTTTTCTTTGAAATGTTTCACTGAGCAGCAACAAGCCCTGATGAATCAGAAATACGGAGGGAGAGAGGATGCTGGTGTTTCAATTGTGGAGATACCTCCTGAGGAGGGCGTTCATGGACCTAGGGTAGTGCTGGTGGAATGGACTGTGCCTGGAAGTGAAGGTCGCATCGTGGACATAGATGCGGAGGGCAATCTGATCACCCTCATGTGTGTTGGCAGCAAACGTTGGCCTACAAATTTCCAAGCGCTGAATGCCAACGTACTTGTGCCGGCCACGGGTGTGACGTATTCCAGAGACAAACGGCATGGTAAGTTTGCTGTGAGGAACAAATTACCACCAAATTGGAACAGGGTTATGCTGATGTGGAAAGCTGCCCACTCCAGGATATTTGATGCCGATTTGCCATTTGAGCTACAGCTTGAAGATGGCATTTGTGCCTTGTGTCGGTCTCATGAGCGTCAGTATACGCAAACAAGTGCAGTTTCTCAACCTGATCTTCCACTCTTGTGTCCTTTGTGCATGCTTCATATGCACAAACACTGCGCTCAAGAGCTCGCCCATTTTGCAGACACCGAGCAAGGAGCTTTTTTCTTGGGAAGTGTGACTGGCGGACCATCAGCACCAACACTGCCGGCAGAGTTTCAGCTTCCAGATCTTTTTATGTCTTCCGCTTCCAGGACTGAATATTGGGAATGCAGTGATACAGCCTCTGCATCATGCCACACGTTCCATCATGGATTCTGGATCACTGTTTGGGCAGTTTTTTTGACCTTCCAATGTTTGTGTGCTGAATTCTCTGACCTGTAAGCAAGCACAAGTGGTTGAAAATACTCTGAGTTAGGTCTTGCCATCCTATCATACGTTTTGATCATCACTAACCACCCATGTTTGCATCATGTTAAGCAGTACATTGAACCAATGAACCAATGTGCCCATGCAGGATCTTTTGTGACATGTGCAAGCGCTGGACAGAAAGGCACCGTCTCCTCACAGCACCTTGATATGTGCGCAATTTTCAGGCGGCTATGGGGCCTGTGGGTCTCCTGCTTGGTAAACGCAAGCGAAATATTTTCGCACCTGCCAGGTGAGGGCCTCTAGATTTGATCAGAGTTACTTAGTACTTCCTTCTTTCCTCCTTCCTTCCTCCTTCCACAGTGGGCACTGCCGGACCTCAACCGCGAGCTCCAGATCTCAGTGGGCACTGGACCTCAACCGCGAGCTCCAGATCTCAGTGGGCACTTCCGGAATTGAGCCAGATGCCAGAAAGAATGTCAGTACAGATGCCAGGTAGAATGTCAGCAAAGATGCCAGAGAGAATGTCAGAATAGATGCCAGACAGAATGCCAGAATTAAAGCATGAAAAGATGCCGGATAGAATGCTTGAAAGATACCAGATAGAATTTCAGAATATATCCCAGACAGCATGCCAGAAAGAATGTCAATGTAAATGCCCAGAAAGAATGTCAGACCCAGTGTCAGAACGAGCATGCATGCAATATATACTTCCAGATGGTACGTCGGAAACTGTGTCAGAGTAGCGTTTCAGGGTGGGGATCACTCGAAGACAATAGTTTTTGAGGTTGCTACGTTATTCTCCCCGTTTTGTTTTCTAGCCGCCTGGGTCACCTAAGCGTTGCAACCAGGGGTAAAGAGCAAAAATCATCCCACGTAGACTGCAATAGTTTGAGTTTGGGTTGATGGTCGATGGAAGATGGCTTTACACAGGCTGCTGATGACTCTTTCTTTGATGCGGATTAGAGGTTGAAAGAAAAGGACGATGAGCATGCAAAAAAACAATCCTAATGTATGAACATATCCGCAGGGTCTCACTAAGTAACAATCCATAAACTCCATAGTCCATAAACACATCCCAACTACCAATACTGATATCATGTGGAACATACAAGAATGTAAGAAACACAAGATACAAAGCAGACACACTCAAAGATGTGCTAGCAAACAAACAAACATAGATACACACACACGGAATAGATTAAAACCAACTCTTTCCTATTGTAAAATTGTACATACATACAGTACATACATCCATGCATGGCTGGAGCAATCACAGTGGTTACTATGTAGCAGAGAGCAATGGTTCATTGGTCAATTTAGCACTTGATGGCGGTTGACTCTCCTTTTGTTGGTTGCCTGTTGTTCGCATCAGGCGCGTGCAGTTTGCAGCTGTAGCGGCACTGTCACTTCAAAGTGAACTCAAGGCACAGCCATTGCGTCAACCCCCAAGAGTGAGGAATATATGTCTGTATGGAGCACGGAGAATTACAAGATTTCACCCTTAGGTTTAGGTCTCAGTCTCACGCACCTGGGAAACCATGTGTTGCCGTGTTGCCAGTTTCCGTGTTTTTTTGCGCAAGCTAAATGGCAGAGCCAATAGCAGACGTGAATCGCTGTCAGTATCTGGCCATTTGGTTTTGCTTTTGTCGGTTTCCTGTGTGGTTACTGTGTGTTTTGATTTGGGTTCAGAAGTTGAGACGCTTTAGGCAGATGAGTGCTTGACAACAAAAGATTTATATAGGGCCAATGTGACTCCAGTGGATTGACGAGGCTTGGAATTGCGGAAAGTTGAAATCAGTGCATGTGCATGAATGACCAATGCCCATGACCGTCCGGGTTCCCAGATTTGACAGTGGCTATCGCTATCGCAGTTCTGCCGCTGCCGCTACTTCAACGTCCACGTCCACATTGATTTTGAATCTCTTGACTCAATCTCACCTTCACCCCCCTGTTGTTGACAGTCTCGGGAAAGGATTGCATTATTGCATCATTGCATTCAAATTGATAGCGCCGAACGTCGAATGCTGAATCTATAGGCTCAGTCATGCCTTTTGTTCTGACATGCCGAACCAGCATTGCAGAGGATGTTCATCTTTCATTTTACGAGTTTTGCAAGCCGGCGACAAATTAAGAGACTTAAACCGATTGCACAGACGATTGGGCCATGCCCATGTTCAAGAGATGGAATTTGAGCTTGTTTTTGTTTCTTTGGTGTAGGTTGTAGGTCCTCTCCCTGCTACTCCCTGCTTGTATGGACAAATTCTGCGGCCATGGCCATGGACCCAGATGCGGCAGATGCGGTACTTGAACCAATGAAGTGGGAAGTGGCCTTCAGCCCATTCGATGTTCCACCTCCCAAAGACAGACTTCATGCTTACAAGTGGCAGTTGGCCACGGACAAACAAGCGAAGAAGCTTGAGGTGCTTTGGCGGAAGGCAGTCCCGGCAGCCAGCCTCTCTGCAGATCGGAGTGCAAGTGACCGCGACCTGAACTTGAACTTCTTCTTGTCCGTTGGACACGGGCGCTACAGCACCATGTCCTACAAGATCTACAGTGCTCAGTTGCTTGGCTCATTTTCAATCTTCTAAGTATTGGACGTTCATTCAAGACTCCCTCACTTCAAGACTCAAATCTCAAGATTGCCTGTAGTCTGTAGGCACTGTGTTGCGTTCATTTGACTGAGGAAGGCGTTTAAAAAGTAAACAACTTGATGATTTTGATGAACCATGCTAATCGTGATGAGTGGTGCGCCCTTCCATTCTGAATGGTCGATCATGTTCAAGCAACCTTGATCCTTAACCAGTGACTGTGACTTCTGTGCCCTGTCTGACTTCAGGCTAGTCAATGGAGTGGAGATCATGATGTTCAAGCACATGGTCGTAGAAGAGTTCCTGATCGCCAAGCCGGTGAGGGAGCTGGTGGTCTGCACCTCTTTCGATCCCTGCGACGAATGGATGGTCAACGCTATGCGCAATGGCCGGTCAGTCGAGCTTTGGTTGACCGAGACGCTCACAATGAAGGAACCCCAGCTGGCGGCAGAGGATGATCAGTTCAGACAGACCACCCACAGGAGCATCGCGGTGAACTGCAACTTGGAGCTCCGAGTTGTCCTGGACCATGGGCTGGCATTAGCGAGACAGTTCGGCACCGAACATGAAGTCGCCGGGTACCAGTTCTTTTTTCAGGGACACTTCCGAATGTCTCTATCACTACTGTGTCCTGTTATGTCACGGACTTTGAAGACTTGGTGGATGCAGCAGTCTGGGCCCATGGGGTCAAATCCCTCAGATGACAATGATGATGGTGAAGGGGTGGTTTCTTCGCCTCTTGGCAGCGGCAGCTCCAGCGTGACTGACGTCAACATTGGCGAGGGTGGGGAATCAGAGACTCATGACTCTGATCAGCTTGATCACCCTGATGATGACGGTGGCGAAGGTATGACCGGTTGTGCCTAGGTCACTTGCAAACTTTCCGGGCCGATCTGAACAGCCCCTTCTGCCTCCGAGAAAAAAGTTTTTCTCTGCTAGTGTGTGTAGCGGTCATTTTCCATGTCCAAGAATTGGCAGCTTTGGTCATTGTGACGGTGTAAACTTGTTTATTTGAAGAAGCCCCAAGGAAGAATATTCAACATCAATGCGACTCAGATTTCAACTGTTTGGACCTCTCCGTTGCATTGTGCAAGAACCATGTACCCATTGTGGCTGGCCACACTGCCGGCTGTTGAGGTGAAACTTCATTAACTTTACATTTCATGAATGCGCCAGGAGCCCCAGTCCTGTTTGTACAACAGCAACAACAACAACACCATCACCTCCAATAGCATCAACAGCAACCAAAAGAGCAATTACAGCAAGCATCTACAGCAACAGCAAAGGCATCGATCATAATAAATAAAAACAATCACCACCAACAGCAACAACAGTAAGAAGAAGAAGAAGAACAACCAAGAAGAACGACAACAACAACAGCAACAACAACAACAAAGACAACAACAACAACAACGACGACGACGACGACGACGACGACGACCACAACAACAACAACAACAACAACAACAATCATGACGACGATGGCAGCAACAAGAGCAACAAGAGCAACAAGAGCAACAAGAGCAACAAGAGCAACAAGAGCAACAACAACAACAACAGCAACAACAACAACAGCAACAACAACAACAACAACAACAACTACTACTACTACTACAACTTCAACCTCAACTTCAACTTCAACAGCAGCAACAGCAGCAACAGGGACAGGAACATGAACATGAACAGGAGTAGGAGCCAGCGACCAGCGATACCACTACATTACTAAGACAATCATACTTTTGGCATGTAGCAATAAAAGTAGCACTATCTATCATCTATCACAGTATCCTGGGGCATATTAGAAATGCTACTTCTTACCGTCTTACCTGCCGAATTATGGATGCCTGGCATGGGTATGGGCATCAGTGTTTTCAAAACCCACGTCTCAATGTCATAAGTTGGTAGTTCCAGCCTTCTCATAACCAAGCCTTGGTCCACGTAATTGATGATGTTCAGTCCTAATTTGTGGGGTCCTCTAATGGGACAGGAAAGAATATGATTTTTACTTGCCAAACACTTACCGAGCAATTAGACCACCAGATATCATTTGATTGGGAAACACCTTGGCTTCAACAAGGGAGACATGCGGACTACTTTAACGCTGACTAAAACAACTACCACCTCCGCAGCCACACCGCTTTTTTTCAGAACAACCAGTGGCGGTGGCAGGAAATGGACAGTGGCAGGGCCTCGTCAACTCAACGGTGGCTGTTTGAAGCTCCTATGGATCAAATGAACCTTGTTGACATGACTTTACCTTAAATAATATACATTGTTTCAACTGTTTCAATTCGGATACATTTGGGGTACACCACTTTTTCAACCAGTCCAATCCCAGCTCCAGACATTCCCGTGTTGTTGTTGTTGTTGTTGTTGTTGTTGTCGTCGTCGTTGTCGTTGTCGTTGTCTTCGTCGTTGTTGTTTGCTGCTGTTCTTCTTGTGGTGGTGGTGGTGGTGGTGGTGGCGCGGCGGCGGCGGCGGCGGCGGCGGCGGCGGTGGTGGTGGTGGTGGTGGTTTTACTGGTGCTGGTGGTGCTGCTTCTGCTCCTGCTGCTGTTGCTGCTGGTGTGGGTGTGGTTGTCGTTGGTCGTTGGTCGTTGTCCTTGTCGTTGCTGTTGCCCTTGTGGTGGTTCTTGTTTGCTTCTCTGAAGCTGTTCTTGGATTTGTTGCTGTTATTGTTGTGTTGTGTGATTATTGCAGTTGCTCAAGTTCTTCTTCTTTTCTCCTTCTTTTTCTTCACCCGTCTGTTGTCTGTTGTGTCTGTTGTTGCGTTTCGTGTAGTAGTGGTGGTGGTGGTGGTGGTGGTGGTGGTGGTGGTGGTAGTGGCAGTAGTAGTAGCAGCAGTTGTTGTTGTTGTTGCTGCTGCTGCTGTTGTTGTTCTAGTTCTTGCTCTTGTTCTTGTTGCCGGTCATTGGCTTGATGGTAATGTTGTAGTTGTAGTTGTAGTTGTTGTGGTTGCAATTGTTCTTCTGGTAGTGGCAGTTCCTGTTGAAGTTGGCTGAATGTCATGAGTCGTGGTGGCTGTGACAATTATGGTTGTTAATGGTGAGGGGTGAAGATAAAGACCGCGCGGCACAGGATTTACAAAGTAATGTTACAATGGGCTGATGAGGAGGTAGTGATTCGTGATGGGGAATGCGAGATTGGTGACAGCTGGTACCCATTACTACCCATGGTAATGATAAATATGTTGCCATAGTAAACGAAAACATCCAACACCGCCGGTACCAAACAAAACCATGCGACACTTGGTTTTGTGTTTTCCGGCTTTGCTTATTTACAATATTCACGCGAGTGGTTCTTCAACAGTTTAAGCCAATCCATTTACTGTGGTAGATGCGCCCACAGCCCGGGCCAAGGTTTGGGTTTCAAAACCTGAAACGGTTTCTGGACTCGCGCATGTGACCGTGTCTTGATTGCAATGACATTGCAAACAGAAAAATTATCATCTAGTTGAACCTAGTTGCAACCCTGCAACAATTTGCCTACAGGCACTGTGTTTTCCGAACTGCCAGTATGCAATCGAGAAACAAACGATACATCATGGAGTACCTTTGAAGCAAAGCCAGCATGAAAAGCTGGAAGTGTTGGACGTTTTTTTCAAGTAACAGCTCGCCAAATTCAAGGGACTGGATCGCTGGGATGGCTTTAAATGCCACATCCGAGCACCCCCCAATCCAAAAACGTAACCTTCAATGATTCCCCAAATCAAGGGTATGGGGGGGGCACTTTCAGGGATCGATCCCCGAATCAGGAGCAGGGATGGCCCGTTTCAGGGATCCATCCCTGAAATCAAGGCCTAGGGGGTCAGTTTCAGGGATCGATCCCCGAATCAGGGGGAGGGATAGCCAGTTTCAGGGATCCATCCCTGAAATCAAGGCCAAGGGGGGCAGTTTCAGGGATCGATCCCCGAATCAGGAGCAGAGATGGCCAGTTTCAGGGATCCATCCCTGAAATCAAGGGCTAGGGGGCCAATTTCAGGGATCGATCCCCGAATCAGGAGCAGGGATGGCCAGTTTCAGGGATCCATCACTGAAATCAAGGGCTAGGGGGTCAATTTCAGGGATCGATCCCCGAATCAGGAGCAGGGATGGCCAGTTTCAGGGATCCATCCCTGAAATTTCAGGGATCGATCCCCGAATCAAGAGCAGGGTGGCCAGTTTCAGGGATCCATCCTTGAAATCAAGGCCTAGGGGGGCAGTTTCAGGGATCGATCCCCGAATCAGGAGCAGGGGTTGCCAGTTTCAGGGATCCATCCCTGAAATCAAGGCAGTTTCAGGGATCGATCCCCGAATCAGGGGCAGGGATGGCCAGTTTCAGGGATCCATCCCTGAAATCAAGGGGTAGGGGGGGAGTTTCAGGGATCGATCCCCGAATCAAGGGCAGGGATGGCCAGTTTCAGGGATCCATCCCTGAAATCAAGGGGTACGGGGGGAGTTTCAGGGATCGATCCCTGAATCAGGAGCAGGGATGGCCAGTTTCAGGGATCCATCCCTGAAATCAAGGGCTAGGGGGCCAATTTCAGGGATCGATCCCCGAATCGGGTAGGGGGGGAGTTTCAGGGATCGATCCCCGAATCAGGAGGAGGGATGGCCAGGCCATCCCTGAAATTTCAGGGATCGATCCCCGAATCAAGAGCAGGGTGGCCAGTTTCAGGGATCCATCTCTGAAATCAAGGCCTAGGGGGCCAGTTTCAGGGATCGATCCCCGAATCAGGGGCAGGGGTTGCCAGTTTCAGGGATCCATCCCTGAAACCAAGGGGTAGGGGGGAGTTTCAGGGATCGATCCCCGAATCAGGAGCAGGGATGGCCAGTTTCAGGGATCCATCCCTGAAATCAAGGCCTAGGGGGGCAGTTTCAGGGATCGATCCCCGAAACAGGAGCAGGGATGGCCAGTTTCAGGGATCCATCCCTGAAATCAAGGGGTAGGGGGGAAGTTTCAGGGATCGATCCCCGAATCAGGAGCATGGATGGCCAGTTTCAGGGATCCATCCCTGAAATCAAGGGCTAGGGGGTGCAGTTTCAGGGATCGATCCCCGAATCAGGAGCAGGGATGGCCAGTTTCAGGGATCCATCCCTGAAATCAAGGGGTAGGGGGGGAGTTTCAGGGATCGATCCCCGAATCAGGAGGAGGGATGGCCAGTTTCAGGGATCCATCCCTGAAATCAAGGCCTAGGGGGGCAGTTTCAGGGATCCATCCCCGAATCAGGAGCAGGGATGGCCAGTTTCAGGGATCCATCCCTGAAATCAAGGCTTAGGGGGTGCAGTTTCAGGGATCGATCCCCGAATCAGGAGCAGGGATGGCCAGTTTCAGGGATCCATCCCTGAAATCAAGGCCTAGGGGGGCAGTTTCAGGGATCCATCCCCGAATCAGGAGCAGGGATGGCCAGTTTCAGGGATCCATCCCTGAAATCGCATGTATTTGATCCAAGTTTTGAAATCGAAATACCCAGTTTTTTTCACTCCCTGCGAGATTTTCTTCTTCATTGATCATGTTGTCTTTGAGTTGAAGAACAGATGTAGTTCTTTGAATTACTGCTGTATCGGAAACAGATATTGTGTTTGACATTCGGGGAAGTCACAAAACAGTTGCTCCATCGTGCCCAAGCACTTCTTTTTTAGTCGAAAAAAATACCTATAGCTTGGAGTAATTCCATGTTGAGACATTCCCATTTCTTTGTTTGCCAGCCGAATTCAGGATACCATCGAAACATTGTGTTTACAAAAAGAACATGTTTGTAGTAGTGTTAGTAGTGGTTGTTTGGGAAGCGCTGTTCTCTTGAACAAAATCCGCGCACTCTCATTACGCGCTGTACTGAGGTGACACTACACATGGAAACTGCGAAGTGGTGCAGTGATTCCATTGCAT